AGCTAAGATACACGAACTTAAATCCTTGCTGTAAATCAGGCAGTGAGCTGGACCTCCAGAGTGGTCAGAGAGCTCTTTAACTACTAGCCAGAGGAATGGAGGACAGCAACAGCTTGCTGCCGGGGCTGTAAGAGGGGTGGTCAGGTTTCTTCGGGCAAGATGGGCAAAGCAGTGAGGAGCTATGCATTGCACCAAAGCTAAGACATTAAGCAGCTTAGTGTTGTCAGAGCTGGAACGGTTGTACACGTGCCCGGCAGCAAAGCTGTACTGTTAGCGATTTAGGAGCCTCAGGAGCCTGGGCACCTACAGGAGTAGGCAATAGATCAGAGCAAGTGTTTGAAGATGTAAATTTTGATCAAAGACTTCAAAGTGTTTGTAGGAGGCAAAGCTGTGTAATATGTCTAAGCCTTGGTTTTTTTCCTTCTTGGCTTCAATTTGTGAACTCAATCTCTCTAATAACAGCCTCTGAACTCCATCAAGGAAATAACACCAGATCCCAGCAAAGGATTTTATGATGTCCTCCAGGAGGAATTAAAAGATCTGTCCCTCATAGTCACTTATGCTGCTGGAGCTTCATGAGGTTTCTTTAGCTTACGCTTCACAGTGTCTCCAGGAAATAGGAAAGTTGGCAAGGTCGTTGCACAGAATTTCAAATTGACAAACTGAGGCACATGAGGTTAAATTTCAAGGTAAGCTGGTGACAGCATGGCCAGGGAACTCATGTGCTGTCTGCTTAACCCTTTTCTTTGACCATGCTCTTTGGGACATGCAAAGAATTATAGTTATAGAGTAACAGATTGGTAAAAAAGACAAGGAAGTTAAAAGAGTACAAAAAAAAGAACATGTGACAGCCCCAGCTGTCTTGATGAGTGAAATTTTCAGTAAAATATTAAGGTCTACATAGCAGTTTTCTAACCAATACAGCAAGAAGTCAATCTTTAATAAGCTGACAGCACCAATTAGACCTGCAGTTAGTTGTAACATCATTCTGTGTCAGTACAGGTGGCTGCATTATTAATTTGGTGAAAGGGCTGGGAGGGTCATGAGGCAAATATTGAAGGGAAAAAAGAAATCTTTGAAATGTTGTAGGAGAAGAAAACTAGGGATAGGAAAAATTTCTAGTTGCTCTTTTTCCAGTTTAAAGAATTTGAGATGCTCTGTAAGCATTCACATATCACAGCAGTGAATTATGTAGATGTAATTTAAAAAAAGCAAAATGTAGTCCGGGATGGCTTTTTTTCAGATGCCTGTACTCAGAACAAATGAAGATATGGCTGAGCCTTCCCTTTAGCTAGTATATTTTACAGAACAGAGGGTAAGTGTAGATGGTTACATACACCTGAGGCAAGAAAATAAGGAAAACTAAGCTGAGAACGATTATGCATTTAACTCTGAGTCAAGCCGTACACTCCAGAATGAAATTCTAACCCCCGTAGAGATGATGGGTCAATTTGTACTTCTGCCAGGCCAGAAATTTCCCATAGGAAGCTCTCTTCTGAACACAAACAGGCAGTTAAATTTAGTGGTGTTCAAAAACCAGAACAGCTCAAACAGGAGTTTTGCAGTCCATCTAGCCATCCAAGCAGAGCTCTCTTAAAAGCAGGGCTCTGGCTTTGTTTTGTTTTCCTCCCCAGAGGCACACTTCTTTTTTTTCCTCATTCTGCATCCCCAGCTGTTGGTTATCAAATCTATGTTGGAGAATTTAATGAATAAAAGCCTGTAGGGATTAACTTGATAAGAAGTTCATGTATATCAAACACTAAAATGCTGTTGTAATGCAATGGCTCAAAATCTTATCAGTCGTAACATATTAATAGTGGCACATTTTTTGGAAGGCTTTACTGGAAAGGATGTAAACAGGCTGGGCACACTGAAGGGAACTTGACCCAGGCCCCTGCTTCTAATGTGATAATTTCCTTTTTAGCTTGATAGCAGTTTCCTAGTTCCATACCTTGCTGAGCAGTCCAGTTAAAAAAAAAAAAAAAGCAGAGATGTAAGAAGTTGAAGGGACTTGGAAATATAAGGCACATTATCAGCATTTTCTTGGGGCATGAGGTCAACAGTAATAGTTTAACTGGTGTAGCAACTGCTGGTTTTAAAGAAGTGACTCACGCTTGAATGATAAAAATACTCTGTTCCATATGGCCCTGACTTAAACAAAGGGTGTCATTCAAGGGCCATAGGATTGCCAGGCAGGGAGGGCCACATCGAACATGGTTCTGACCCTGCTGTGCCTCAGGATAATGCTGCAGAACAGGCTGCTTGGGTTCTCAACCTGGGATGCTGGTTATCTGCTAAGGAAAAAAGACTATACCAGCAAACATGATAATGTAATTGCGAACGTATTTTTCTTCTTTCTTGGGCATCAGTTTCCTGGATATGATGCTGATCTTGAGAAACACCAAAGACTCGTAGAATGAAGTGGAAAGCGTTGAGTTATATTTAGATACTTATAGCATTTAATCAGTTCAGTTACTAAAGTGAGATCTATAGAAAACTACAACTAATTAATCAAAATCAGAAAGAGTAATGATAAAAATACTTTTTACAATTATTTTGATACTGTACTTTTCTGGGCTGATACAAAGAATTTTGGAGTCAGTCAGAAACTTTCTCTTGACTTTGAAAACCTCCACTTGAGCTTCAGTTCAGGTCAGGGACCGCAGGCCGAGGGTTTGCTGAAGGTGCTTGACCTAGGCCGTTTGCTGTATAGAAGGGTGCTGCAGGCTAACTGCAGGCACTGGACCTTCCACTGCCCATCTCTACGCCGCTCTCTTCCTAGAGAACACCCTTTGGAATCGAAAGGAAAACTGCCACTGATACCTCTGGTCCTTAGAGTATATCCTTTGTACTTACCTGTCACTGCCTTCAAAGAGCCAAACGTGAGCTTTTCTCTTTTCTTTTCTTTTCAATGAGAGACAAGAACTGAAGTTAGTGATGGCCTCACAGTGATATGGTCATCATCTCAGTTATTGACCAGGCAATAACCCTTCCGAAAAAATAGAGCCAAGAGGGATATCAAGTACAGGTTAAGTGTAATGTTTAGTATCAGAACTGAGAACTGAAGATGTTCTGGAGATAAACAGGCATGTGATTTAAAAGTGAGAATGATAACAACCCAGGTAATTATAATCCTGCTTGCAATTACAATTTTAATAATTGATACATTTTCTCATGTGGCCTCATTTTGCCTTCTTAAATTTTCTGGACTAATTTTATATTCCCCAATTTTACTTTGCGAATTTTTTATGTAAAAAGAACTACTGTTCTCCAAATATTAAGGCTAAATTGTTATCACATCATTTTTGTACTTCCATGGATGTCAGTCAAGCTGGCCACATGAATGGATGAAAAGTGTTTTTGTGTCAATATTGATTGCTATAGGACTGTGATAATTTTTTGTTGCTTGTTAGCTTGAAGTCTGACTTAAAGGTAATTCTCATTGATGCTATTTTTACTATGAAGTTGATGGTTTCTTCTATCTTTTCAGAATATATGGAGTGTTTGTAATACAAGAAGGAACGCAGTGGAGCTTTTAAGTTACATATGTCTGGACAGAAGTTTTGTAAGCCTTTTGAAGTCTTAGAAAATTAAGGGGCATTCAGACTATGAAATGGTGACACTTGTTTATTATCTTCACCAGGTCTCAGAAGTATTATCTCTTGGGTCTCAAATTCTAGTGCTACACGGAAACTACTGATGGATTAGCTGGTTATGGAAAGTGGCTTTGCATGCATTGGAAATCTAATGAGGGTAGCAATGATATTTTAAATCCTGCACTTAAAAGAAAACCAACTCTATAAAAATTCCTGTATAAGTGATTAAGTTATAAGACATCAGAATAATGCACAGAATTTGCACTTGTTCATCTTCTGAACAAGTGTAAACAACAGATACTGACTGGAATATAAGCAGTACATTAGCTAAAATAGATTAAGGACCTAAATAATTATATTACTGTAATATTTAAGAAAGCAATGTTTAGAGCAAGATATCTGTGCAAGACTATCATTTAATGTTTGCATCTTATGAAAGTGGAACTGAAGCAGTATTTTAAAACTTCTATAAATGTTGAATTTTCCACTAAGGAAAATTGTTAAAAGCTCGTTATGGCATGCAGTGGTAGTGTCTACTGAGCAGTGTTTTTGTTACTGTTGTACACAGCTAGTTTTGAGAGCTTGCTGTAATCCTGATTAAGCAAAGAAGCTCCAAATCAGATTATACATCTGGTAGCAATTAGATGGAACAGTTACCATCCAGGGACGTAGTATTTCCCCTGGAAAAAGAAAAAAACCCACATTCTGTGGTATAATTAAGTTACAGTTAGATGTAAATCCTCCTGTCTCTTCATAAACTATATTCACACACATTTATAATTGTTGCATTGCCCTTTTTACAACGTGTTGATATGAAGAATGATTCATGGATGACAAAACTCCTTCAGACTGTCACATTTTATTGAGTGTTGTGAAAGAAACCCCACGTGGAACTATTTTCACTGTGATATCTGAATAGAGGAAATATGGGAGAATCTTTAACAAAAAGAAGATCATGTTGACCAAATGACTGAATAAAAGCAAGAATTAATGCCAGGAGATAGTTAATAAATAGTCTCAGAAGGTGAGTGGTAGAAGCTCCATTTTAACATATTTAAAATATGTATCACTAAAGAATTTCGTTTGGAGGATAACCCTACACTGATAAGAAGATAGATTAGATGATCTACGTTCCCCACCCACATTTTTATTTTATGTGGTTCTGCGAGTCTCTTGAGCAATCTAAATAAACAGAAAATTATATAAATGAAATATTTAAAATGTAAATAGAGTTTTAAAATAATATAAGAGGACTTGCTGAATGAGATGTTAGACACACTGCTCTGAACAATGGCTACCTGAGGTGAACCTGCTCTGGTGATTAACATTAGCTGAGATTAAGCAAATGGATTACGATGTTTTTTCTAGTCGAGCACACTTGGAATAAGGCTAAGGATGTTCATTTCATATGGCATAGAGAATCACATGTACAATATATAAATCTCTGAAAACAAGCTAACTACTCTTTTGTTTACATAGGATGTGACTGTGGGTGAGTATGATGAAATTATATGCAATACTTACCAGCTATATGGCATTAGACATATTCTTATATATTTAGAACAAAGTGTTCCACTTAAGTGTCGTTATAGAATTTAGCAGCTTTGTCCATAAACTTTGAATGAGTGTCTTTGTTTATGAGAACGCAGGCAAAGGGATTACATTCTGAATTCTGTTTGATTTTCTTGCAGAATAAAATTCTTAATGTTGTCATTGCCAAAATATCTTAATAGGCATTCTGTATCATGTAATATCAGCTATTTGTTAATTTTAGAATATAATCATTTAAGTATGAAAATCGATACTATGTTTAAGATGAAATGAAGCTATTACAGCGTGATCACCTGTAGTATGAAATAGTAACTTCTACAATATGTTGATTATTCATTTGTTGAAATGTTTGCTATTTGTAAGATGCAATTATAAGGTATCTGAAAGATGCATAAGCAACTCCCGCTACTAAAATTAATACTAGAAAGTATTCATACATAGTTTACTATGCAACCATTAGTTCTTTCATATATGGCGTGCTATGCAACTATGAGTTCTCTGCCAAAATTATCTGTTTTATCATTCATTTTATGTTTTGCTAAGGAAAACTTCTTTTTCTTAGTTACTTTTGTAAATTCAAATTATTTCATGTTTGTAATGAAAATTATCTTTTTTCTTTATATGTGTATTCTCTCGTTTTTTGTTTTGGATTTCTTTACTTCCACGGTGTCAAGACTCAGTCTAATAATTATCTTTATGTAAAACGTATTGTATTTCTCTTCCAAATGTTGATGCTTACATAACTCAATGTTTTATATGAGTACAAATATCCAGAACAACTTCTGAGATGCTAATTCAAAAGCAATTATTATCAGCAGTCTCATGAGAAAATCCACGTATTTTATCTCTTGTAAGAGTGAATAATCATACAGTTAGATGAAATTCCACTCCATTTTCATAAAGGGTGAGAAGCTGTAATACAGAGCAGCTGAGGAGCTATGTCTGTTCATTTCTGTCTCTGACCGTTACTGATGATGACTTAACAGTTTTCTCCCCTTCCCTTTCCCAGAGATCCTGGACAGGGCTCTGTTAGCAAGCTCAAGTCTTCTAGGCCAGTTAAATGGGGTAACATGACATTCAGTTCACTGAAGAACTTCACTACTGTCATTGCTGCTTTCATTGGAGTAGAACATTTGCTCTGCAAAGAGATTGGGAAAGTTTGTGTTGCAGCTAGCAATAAAAATGCCCTTATGGAATTCCTCTGGGAATATCAGTATAAAGAGAATGACGCATGAAGCATAAAATTGCTGGTTCAAATTGTGGCCGTAGTCTTAACTCACCTGTCAACCTCTCAGTTTAGAAGTGTAATGAAGAATTAGGCAGTTTATTGAATAGATGTGTCAAAAAAGATGAGCAACTATAGCTCTCGGTGGTTTCAGTTGAAGTGGAGCTCCTCCCTACCGCAGAAAGTAAGCCATTTCACTAGCCATCATGGACTGGGTTGTATAAGTTGCTGCAGCCAAGCTTGAAATTTTCTTCCTGCATACTCCTTAATTAAATACTCACAGCTTTTTTGTTTGTTTGTTTTAATTATTATTTATTTTATTTTAAATGGAATTGTGATTACCTAAATCAATCTTTGTGTACATCATTCTAGTGCAGATCTGTTTGGTTATTTTTCAGTTTTAGCACTTAGAACGAGTACAATTTACAGCATAAATAATGTATTAAAAGGAGACATTTCTTCCTGTGCTCTGATCATTGTTCAAAATAACGACATTTAAAAAATTATTAACTCTTAGTGAAGGCAAAACACCCAAGCTGAAAACAATGCATTATTGGAAAAGCTTTAAGAACGCAGTAAGATAAAATCTTGTCAAATCTGACTTTATTTGAACCTTGACTATCTTGAAAAGTAGCAACATTTTCTTCTCAGTTTCAGAACTGATGTATGTAGTAGTAAAAGAGTCAAAATATTGTTTTCCATAGCTTCATTAAGAAAAATATGTAGTAGCCAGAAGAGATTGTTCCATTAGTGAATAAGGCAGCTACATCAAGGTGACATTGTCAAAGAATTTAATTTACATTATTTTGATGACAAACGTATTCCCTGAGACTGCGATACAGCTTTTCAGTAAAACTCCACTAAAACTGCTTTCTTGAGGCTGTTTAGTTGACTAGCCATTTTTACCCTGAGTTCCAGTCAAAGCAAGCCAATCATTAAGATAGAGTGATTTTATTCATTTAAAGGGTTGTCATTACAGTATCTGTATGTAGACTGGATTCAAATGGAAAGATTGTAGTGAGAGTGCTCTGTTTTCAAGCATGGGGACTACTGATATAGTTGTCAGAAATAATCTGTTGTTTAAAAGACGAGTATTTAAATGTTTCAATTTAAAGGCTGCTTCTACTAAAGAGTACCTGAAATTTTCAAGTCTTTATAAAGGATTTAAAGACTTTTCTCTTACTATAAAAAGTGTTACTTGATCAGTAGTTTATCCCTCAGTATAACTGCAAATATTGCAGTGGTTTATGTATCATGAGATATAAAACTTCTAATAGAAAAGCAAATAACATGTCAATTTACGATGCAACTTAATTCTAAAACATGTTTTGGGCCTTACTCTGGCATAGTTTATAGTGTAGTAAATCAGGAGCCTTTTCTCTGACTCCAATGGATTTGCCCTGGTATAAAAGTAGTATATGGGATCAGAATGAATTGTATTGTCTTTCAGTTTTGTTATGTTGGACTGACTATGGCTCATGCCTAGGCAGAAATTATTCCCTCCTAATAAGGATGTTTCTAGTACCTTAAATATGAAATGCTGTCATTAGCTTCATCCTCAAGAGAGAAAACATCTAATTATCATTCTGGACTGACAAAGTACTTTCTTCTAAGGAAAGGTCTAAGGAAAGGTCTCTCGTACCTAAATGATAAGAGATTGTGGAGGATTTTGGGAATTTTTGCAAGTAGAGCTATGCTAACTTAATCCAACAGTACTGGAGTCTTTGTGGAATTTAGAGGTAACAGCTTGGATCCATTTAAATCCAATTATTTTTGGCACAACTTGCTGCTGTGGGTTTCTTATAAATTCTCTTTCTGCATCTTTCAAAATGAAGACCGTATTATTACTAGTCATAAGAAAAGTTTTACATTCATCTCCTCTTTCTTCCAGATTGCTGTCAAAATGAGTGAAACACCTTCAACTAGTTACTCGGTGAATCAGCCAAACTCCTCCGAGAGTGAACAGAGTTTATCCACGCGTCATTTCAATGTTACTGAACCTGTTGTGGCAAAACGGATCTGTTTCTATAAAAGTGGAGATCCTCAGTTTAATGGGATCAAAATGGTCATTAATAACCGGTCTTACAAAACATTTGATGCCTTGCTGGATAGTTTATCCAAACGGGTCCCATTACCTTTTGGAGTAAGAAATATTAGTACACCGAAAGGGAGACACAGCATCACCAATTTGGAGGATCTTGAAGATGGAAAATCTTATATTTGCTCCCATCAGAGGAAAATGAAGCCCATCAACCTGGAACAGGCTAGCAAAAAGCCACTGCCCTGGCAGATCAGTAGGCCTGTCAGTGCTCGTCGTCGAGCTGTGCAATTAGCAAGGGAGAATGAAGATGGATTTGGCTATCGAGAAAGCAAAATAACAACTCCCAAAAAGATGCTTGTTTTCAAAAACGGGGATGTAAGACTCAGGCGCACCATAGTTCTGGGAAAGAAAAATACACAAACCTTTGAGGCTTTTCTGGATTATATGAGTGAGTTAATGCAATATCCAGTCGTGAAACTATATACCACTGATGGCAGAAAGGTGAGAATAAAGACAAGTACTGAAAATTTTTCTATGATTGCTTCTAGACTATTTTTAATTAAAAAGGTGATTTTATCAATTATAAACTTGGAACACTGGCCTGGTGTAAGATCTGATGTGCTGAAGGTCAGTTGTTTCCTTTCTACGCCTTTTCACCTTCAGAAAGGCTGCTAGCTTGGAGGAAATATACTGGAATCTTGCGATCAGAGAGAAGCTAGTGAGGACATTTTATTTTAAGTCACCATGAAAAAACACTTTTTCTTACTCGGGCCTCTTTCAGGCATGCTTTCAATTCTGTGTTTTTACCCATTTACACAGAAACTTCCTTTAGTCTTAATGCTGTTTATCTGTGATTTTTAGTGTTTTAAAAATGCGGTAAGTAGCATCTAATAGCCATACATATTTTATCATTACACAGATGCACAGTGGTTTGCCATGAATGACTTGGAACTATGACACCTGATTGTCTGTTACAGTTTTCAAACCATGGACTAGGTTCTGTACCTCTGAACCCAGATAATGTAGCACTAATAATCCTGATTTTCATCTCACATGCTATTTTGTATAATTTTATCTCACTCAGTGTTTTATCTGTGTGTTGTTTAACCACAGAAAAACCCTTGTGATTATACGTAATAGGTATCTAGAATGAGAATTCCATGCAGAGCTCCAAGAGTTCAAGGGAAATCTTGTGTTTACCCTCCATTTGATGAAATTCTGTATTAGGTTGAGAAACTGTCCGTATCATCTGTAAGTCAGTGAAGTGCAGTTTGTAAGCCTTATCTTGCAATATATTTTGGAATATAAATTCAAAACTGTTAGGGCTTTGAGCACCTTAATCCAGTCAGACCTGCTTTGAGCAGAGGGTTAAACTACATGACCTCCACAGGTCTTTTCCAATGTATATTGTTCTGTGATTCTGTCCTCTTCCTCTGTGGCTGTACAGGTCAAGTACTTGTGGGGTATTCTGAATTAGCCCTTTCTTCCTCCAAATACGTGTTCGTATGTATACCTACCTCCAAATGCATATTCTTATTTCAAGGCTATGAACAGTCACTGTGCAATGATGAAACAAAATTACATATGCAAACACTTAAATTATAAGAAAATTTTGATCTGGATCCAAGTGCTCCTTGAAGTCTTTTCCTAACATATTTATATAACAAGACATACCCTCACAGAGACAAGAATGCCTTACAGGAATTGAAAATTTAATTCCTTGCTGTGATACATATTTAATAGCCTGCTGCAAACTAATGTAGAGACTAAGAAGTGAAGATATTAAAGCATGAAAGCGATAAATCTCTCACATTATTTTTTGTGGTTACTAAGGCAAAGAATTTAATGTTACCTTTTTTTTCCAGGTTGCTAATCTTCAGGCCCTGATATTGTGCTCTGGAGCTGTTGTCGCAGCGGGAAGAGAGCCTTTTAAACCAAGCAATTATGATTCTCTTGGGTATTCACGGCCTGCTAAATTGCTTGGAATTGCAAATCGTGTATACCCAAAATCAAATATCAAGTCAGAAAGTGAAAACAGTAAGTTTTTTGAATTAATTTGTATTTTATTAATTGGTTTATCTGTCTCAGCATAAGACATAAACCATGACAATCTTACTAGGATCAAGGATATTAAAAAAGGCCAGCTGAAACTGTTTATATCTGCTCTGACTCCTCTCTAAGTATAAGAAAGATCAAAGTGTTAATGTTCTTTTTAAAATGTAAGTTTCTGCTAAGTACTCAGCTAGTATGCATATTTTCTTTCAGACTTATTTAGAACATGGATGCAAACCTATATTTTATTTTAATGCATTTGATATAATTGTTATTAGTTTTTTGGTGTCATGGTTAGCAATGGCAGTGGCAAAAGAGAAACCACAGGCTACTTCAGGCTCTTAACTGACTAAATTTCTTGAGCAAAACTTTTGTGCAGTTTCAGTTTTCAGATGTTTTCAGAACTTACCTTAGCAAGTGGAGGTCTGACTTGTCATTGTCATGACTTTCACTTTTTCCCATGTCCCGTGCTCCACATAAACAGGAACATCGTTATAGCACCCATCCACTCACAAATTCATCATGTTTTTGAAGCTGCTTTTGTCTAAACAGAGTGTCATCCTTTCCTGTATCCTCGTGGCTGTTATATATGTTTTTTGGATAAGTTTGGGAAAAGATACACAAATATGTACTTTCCCTTTGACCACTCATGGAGCTGTGCCACTGACAAGGTCAGTATGAGTGTGAAGTGGCCAGTGGATGATCAAGAACATGAGGAGCTGTTGGAGAGAAGCCAGGTTAGCTGAATAGTCTGAGATTGAGGGGAACAAAATGCTGCGCTACCAGAGCTTTGAGGTCCTGTGGGAATCCTCGGCATTAGAGCATCCTGTAGGGCAGAGGTACTGTCTACAGGGAAATTTGTTTAACCCGGAGGTACCTTGTACTCTTGATACAAGTGCATGCTATACTGGAGAGCCCAGGGAACACTGTAATTGTTTCTGTACTGAGACTTTCCATGGTAATCTTGACTGTGTCATGGAGCACATTTATACAAAAGACACTCGGCTTCCATTTACTTGAAGGAGTTTCTTCCATATCCCTTGCAGTTTATTATGTCCCCATCAAACTATTCATTTCAGTTTTTCCCAGCCTTCATGTTCTTTGACTTGCACAGCTTGAGAGCTGTTTGCAGAGCATAACTAATGAGTCAAGAGAGAATGAATAGGAACATTTTGAGAAGGAAAGTTCTGCAGAAACAAAAAATCCTACCCAAATTTTGCTTTGAGCCAGAGCTTGAGCCTTGCAATGGTAGAAAATGTGAGTAGCTGAGAATCTGATAAGCTCCCTCTTCTAATCCTAGTTAACGGCAATTACAGAAAGAGAGAGAAAAAAACAACTCTCTTTTTGTCTTTAACCTGAGAAATTCAAAAGTATCCTGTGTAGGAGACATCATTGATGATGTGAGAGCCTGAAAAATAAAATTTCAGGCACTTTGTTCCAATTCTATTTCCTGAGACAGAGAAGGTGAGATTTTTACTTTGGGAAGCATAAGGTCTGGCCTGTGTTAGAGAAGTTAGTACAAACTTTTATTTCTGATTCAGTTCATGGTAAAGCATATGCCTGGGAAACTTGCAAGGCACTCTGCCTGAAATTATAGATACGTATCTATAACAGTAATATGTTAACTGTGAAAGTCTTGTTACGAGACCATTTGTGACTCACTTCAGAAAAAAAAAATGCTTAAATTCAAGCAATGTAGATAAGTTATTATTACATGAGTTAAAATATCTTTCTGCAAGTGAAGCCTGTCTATTAAATGGTGGCTCCTGTGTATTTAGGTATCAGTAGCAGTTGTGGATGTCTTTGTGTGGGTGCACCTGCACTATTTCGCTCGCACATGCAGAACTTGGAAGACAGCAGAACTTTATTTTTATCTTGTTCTTTTATCTCTCACCTCTTCAGTGACAACTGCTAGGGAGTGATAAGATATAATTTTTTTAACAGCCAAGTTATTGCAGAGTAATCAAAAACATATTCTGGGAATATTTAATGTGTATGCAAACACATATTGTGCCATACTCAAAATCTATTGAAGTCTGGAAGTATTCTCATTGGCTTTGCTGAGTTTTGCGCTATCATCTACAGTACTGTAGCATAAAATGTATCTCAAAATGCCATGATTTAAATTCAGATTTTGTCAGAGGTTCAAGGGCTTCAATGTTTACTTCTCTATAGAAGGTCAGTCTAGGGGACTGGACCTGAACCCTTTATTCGTGTGTCAGTACTCTCGGTAGTTACTCATATGCTGTAGATTGTCGGATTAAGCCCAGGGAGATATATGTTCTCTTTGACTGACACATGTTAGCACTAACTGTAAGAACTAATAGGAAATCACATATTAATGATCACTAAGGCATGAAGAAAAAGTAAAGTTGGTAGCTTGAAGTCCAAACAAGCGAGGGCATGTGAATCCCTTGAAAGGTTCAAGGCAACCTCAGCTCCCAACTCAGTAAAAAATGAGAACATTTAGTACTTTTTTAGGCTTTGAATCTTCAAATAAGACTATAGCTCTGGCATTAGAAGAACCTGTTGCAAAATAAAATCAAGTGGAAAAGTAGTTAAATGCTTGATTCTTTATTAAAAACTTGGTTATTTTTCTCTAACAACTTCTTAAAATAAACAGCAAGATTAGCCATGTTTTTCTCTTTACTTTCTAGTACTCTGGTAAAATAAACACACCTAATTAGCTTCTCTTGTACTAATTTTTCTCCTTTCTTCTTTTCTTTTCCTTTGCTGCCTGTCTGCCGTCTCGCCATCTGGATCCTTATGCATGATATTTGTCTGCTCTACTTTCCACCTACTGAATGAATTTGGGTTCTTTCAATGTAATTATTGGTAGCGAGGGCTGAAATGGGCTCTAGCTCAAGATCTCAGATATTTTCAGTTTCTTCTGATAAAGGGTCCAGCAATGATAACATCTCAAATGATAACAACTCAGATTCTTCCTATGTTCCTGACGGTCATAATGGTATAGGAGGAAATCAGTCAGTTACTGGTGAAGACTTATCTGTGGCACAGTATGAAGACAACATTGAGAAATCTGTTCATGTTAATCAAGATGGCAGTATCACAGTGGAAATGAAAGTTCGAATCAAAATTAAAGAGGAAGAAACTATTAAATGGACAACCACTGTAAGTCGTGCTGGCCTTTCTGATGACAAAAATACCACCATTTGCAATTCTGCAATGCATGCGGAAGACTGCTTATCCAATGTAAATGTATCAGACTGTATAAAATCAAGAGAAGGTCCATTTTTGAAGAGCTACAATAAAGAAGAGGGAGACTCATTACAGCAATTCAATGCAGAAGTGTCAGACAAAGAACCAGAGTCTGATTTTAAAACTGCTGGTTGTAATATCTGTAAGAAGAACAGTACTGCAGATCTAGATGTAAGCAATGTACCTGAGGATAGTATCAGGCCTCACTTTTATAGACCTCCCACCCCTGGGCCAAGGCGTGTTAGACAAAAGAAAGCAGTAGTTGAAAGTGTCACCTTGGTATCTGAGAAAGAGGTTCAGAAGAAGACAATAGGACAGTTTTCCTACAGTGAGGAAATACAGAATGGAGAAAATAAATCTGAGTATTGCATGGTAGCTCGTTCAAGCAGAACAAAATCAAGTGTCAGTAATCCAAAGTTCAGTGACATGAGTGACAATGATTTATTAAAGCTTTCTTCAGATAACATAAAAGAAGAAATGCTTTTTAAAGTAAGACACAAAAGTAATGATTTCATAGAAACCACAAATAGGAAGACATTAGAAGTGCCTGACGACGATGAATCGGTACAGAATATATTAGAGAAATCAATTGCAGAACAAGGTACATATAATAGTTTAGTATCAACCTGCAAAGCTAACATCAGTGGTTTCATACCATCATCAAAAATTTACCAGGCAGCTAGGCCAGGTTCAGCATTTTTTTAGTCATGTGATATTAAACAAATAAAAAGATCACTGAGTTCTTTCATTAGATATTCAGAATTACGTCAGTCAAAAGAAGAAACAAAATGCAAAGCTGCTGATTTATTACCTATTTCTCAAGATTCAGCGCATTCAGCCTGTCCTGAACATGGCCAGATGAAGATGATGGTACCTCCATGTAGTAAAGCTCCTACTGAGGAAATAAATCCAACAACTGGATTCTTTCCTAATGTTACTGAAAGTGAGAATCAAATCAGTGTCAGGAGTGAATCTGTGATGGCAATCCATCTCATTGATGACAGCCAATCTGCATCTTCCCTCACCAAAAAGAAGAAGAAGAAAAAATGGTCTAACTTTCCAGAGCAAGGTACATATGAAAATCAAAAAGATAAAGAAATTTCAGAGATAATTAAAAGTGAGGGAATGTATATCACAAGCAAAACCACACAGAATTCCACAACAGAGACTATGGATAATTATTCTGAAATGCCTCAGAAAAAAGGAACAGAATTTTTTGTAAAAAACAACGGTGGGTCTGTCAATTCAGACAAAAGCATATGTCCTGAAGATGAGTTCTGTCATCAGGATTCAGCGGAACAAAATGGATTATCATCTAATAAAAAACCAAGAAGTAATAACAACAAGTTGACCAAAGCAAAATTGAAATCAGGTAAAAAAATTAGTATTGTTTCATCTGCAAAGAGTGAAGATGGTTTAATGACAGTTGATTCAAACAATGAATCTGAACACAGTCAAGATACACTGAGTACTGAGAAAGAAGGCACACATCTCACGACGAGTTCTTTTGAACAGACACCTAACTCATCAGTGGTTTCAAATCCATTGTCAGAAGTGCCAAAGAATCTTAACTCTGAAAAAGAAAGAGAAAATAATAGTTTGGAAAATTTATCATCAAAGAAAGAGAAAAAGCAAAAGAAGATGAAGAAAAATCCAAGTAAAGGTGCAAATAAGTTAAATATGTCGGAGAGACCCATTACACTAGAGGCTCTAAAACAGGAGGATTTTCAAGAGGAAGTTGTTGAGTGTTCACTTGAAAACTATGTCCAAACTTGGCTGAAAAACTTGTTACCAAATTCTGTCTTACCCCCTATAAATAAAAAAGAAGGGAATGTAGAGAATAGCAATGTCTGTCATTTTCCTAATGAAAATGCTGATGCTCCTATAGATAAAGAAACAAGATTTATCACAAATAAAGTGCATGTGACTGGGAAAAAACATCTGTTTGAACATAATCTAACCAAAAAAACATTAAAGCCAATTTACGATTTGGGAACTTTAGAAGAATCAGCCAAGGATTCAGGCGAAAAACAAACTGACTCTTTGATTCATGCTAATACAACTATAGTAGGAGAAGCCAAGTATTCACTAAAGTCAGAATTTCATCATGATGGTAAGCTACACTTGTTTCATGAAACACAGGATAATGACAAAAAGATGTCAGAAGCTGATATTCAAGATACCAACCTATGTCAAAGAAAAAAATCTGAAGTTGCTGTTCAAGTTGATTGTGCAATTGTCAATGAGAAAATGGGAATTGATGTTCAGAATAATTGCATGTCTAACATGTTGCTGCATGAACTACAATCAGATTTGCTTGGTCTCCAGAAAGAACATAGTGGATGTATAGGAAAAGCTTGCAGCCTTTCAGATCTTTCTCCTTCAGCTTTTGGTTCTTCCTCCAATGTCATCCTAGCTTGGCTGCTTGTATTGAATCTGAGAGAGAGTTTGATTGGGACAATCAAAGATGATATACAAAAAATTACCTGTAGCTGTTCTGAAATATTTACACAGTTACAATTTCTGAAACAAACTACAGTCATAGAAAAAGTTGATGAACTGAAGGCTGCCTTCTCACATTTTCAACAATCAACAGAAAATAACTTATTACACTTTGGGAAGGAACTCAAAAAGCAGGACTCCACACATTGTCATGAGAATATGCCCATATCTGAAATTCATAATGGTATACATTTGCATGAAAATGAAAAATCAGTTGAGCCTTCTATTCCAAAGGACAGTGTAAATTCTGAAGAAGCTCTAAAATTGACTGGTGAATTAGAAAACTGTTTTGATACACGGAAAGATCTTTGTGGGGAAACAGAGACTTTAGACTTGCATGCTCCCAAAACACAGCTAGACGGTCAATATGCCAATACTAATTCAAGTACCTGTAGCCTTGCATCAGCTATAGAGCCACCTGAAAGAAATGAAGAAATGTCTGATAGCCTATATAAAAAATCTCAAGATAAAAACACTGATACATCATTCATTAATGAAGAGTCAGAAACTTCAGTAGAACCTAACTCGACAGTTAATAGTGTAACTTCTAATGATAAAAATCATATTTTAGATCAGGATACTTCTGAGTTAGAAGGTGAAAAAGATATTATACATGTTACTACTGATAAAAGTGAAGGTGAGAAAGTTGATCCAAAGTCAGCAGGTAATGACAAAACCCCAAATAACCAACTTAAACTAGCTGCTGAAACCTCTGTAGAATATAATAATGAGGATTATTCTGTACAGGAAGACAAGGAAGATGCAGAAACTTGTGAGGAAACCTCTGAGAGGTTATCTACAGTGTCTCCATTATCATTTTGTTATGAATCAAAGCAATTTACAGAATGTCATATGAGCGAAGGAGAACAGAAATTGCAGGTAGAAGAACTGGAGAATAAAATGTGTTCAGATACGTCTCAATTTAAAAAATGCTTAAAAAGTCCTGCTACTTCAGACTGGTCAGATTACAGACCAGACACTGAAGAGAGTGATTATAACTTTAGAGCATCCAGTGGTTTGACCAATGAAAGCGGAGAGGAAGCAGTACTTGAAAAACATTATAATACTGGCTATGTAAAAAGAACTATTGAACAACTTTATGGCAAGACAGAAGCTTCATTTAAGCCTGACTTTCACAAAGGATTTCCTTATATGTCAAAAGTATTTCAAAAGGATATTGAAGAATTCCACTCTGCAGTGGTGGAAAAAACCATTTATTTTTCTCAAGAACCTAGGTCTTGTTCTGCAGAGAAGTTGTCACATTCTTCACTACCATCACAAGAATTTCCAGTAAACATAAACAAAGTTGACACTATATCGAGAAGAGAAAATACTTCTTTACCAACACCACAACCTACTCTTAACAGAGAAGAGACAAGTTATACTAATGATTGTTCAGGGCAATCTCCAAAGCAACATTGTCAACCTAGTGTACGAGCTAATGAAGATGAGGGGATATTGATAGACAAAGGCAAATGGCTTCTCAAAGAAAACCATTTGATAAGAAGATCACCACCTGAACGGATTGGAATGTATGGTAATTTGGATACAACATCAACAGACACAGTCCTTGATACTAACAGTGATGATGTTCCGTACTCGCACTTTGGCAATCTGAATCAGTACCCAGTCCTCAATGAAATCTCTTCTTCAGAACTTGAAGACATGGCTAAACCCTCTGAAAAATTTTGCAACTACTTCAATATACCTCATAACAGTGATTCAGACCCCTTTCAGGATGACTTAAGTGCAAAAAGCAAACCTAGCCGCAATGGTAAGATCAATTCCCTTCCTGCAGCAAACAAAGAAAAGATCAAACCATCAGTCATGGTAGGTTCTACTTCCACACAGGCTGATAACAATTTTCCAGCCTTTACATCTGTAGAATTTAGATTGCCTGATAACAAGGTGCATCCATTGGAACAGCCTTTAAATGACAAACCCATACAGTCTCAGCCAACCGAAGTTAGTAATCCTAACAGAAGTGCTCTTCAGGAAGAAGATTCTCTGGATAAACTCCATGCTATATGTGGCCAACATTGTCCGATATTGATGGTGACAGTAACACCAATTAATGAGGAACAGAGAGGATATGCCTACCAAAAGGCATCTGACTTTGAGAACCAGCTGGGTCCATGTTTGTTGGCCAAAAAGAATGAACATTTACGATGGTCAGGCGAAGATTTAATAACAGACAAAAATAATCACGCGGCTCTGAAGAATAACTGTATCAATAAAATTGCCAATAATATTTTTAATAGGTTTTATGCTAATAACACCTTAGATTTTATTAGTAACTATGGAATACTTGCATCTTCAATTCTGAAAGACACAAACAGTTTAGGGAAGTTACATGTTATAGAGGATACGAATGTAAAAGCTGTGGAAGTTGGCAACTGTCAAAATGATGCATCCAAACACATACTCAGTGATCTTGTGATAGGCACAAATAGTGAGCTACCCAATAGAAACCCAAAAATACGCCAAACCCTAAGAATAAGCCTAATTCACATTGTTGGAGAAAAATTTTCTCCTATATTGGCAGATCCAGCAGAAACCTGTCATTCTGAAACATTTCTGAAGTGTGACACTTCTTTAAAGAACATTGAACATAATGCCTCTGAAAAGCTGAAAAATGAAAATGCCTTTCCTACAAAAGAAGAAGAAGAAGAAGAAGAAATAGTTTGCGTTTGTACAATGGATAATGGAAACAGTAAAGATGAGGAAGACTCGTAATAGAGATCTTGGAATTTCTATAACATTAGATTAATGAAGACATCTTCAGGGAAAAAAAAAATCACAAAATAAACTGCTGAATGCCACAGCCAATAAAACTCCCAATGTGAATACAGCCCAGACCTAGATAAATATAAATCACAACTGTATATCATTGTTGAAATACAGATAATTACTTAGATTTTTATGGGAACCAACATAGGAAGAAAAGCTCTTCTTCTAAGACAGTGATTTCTTGATTAAAAAACAGTTTTTCCCTGAAATGTTATCTGTCCAGAGATATTCAGTTATATACCAACTATCTCATTTATAGAGAAACAACTACTGCTTGTTAGAACAGACAACTGAAGTTTGAAATACCTGCCCGAGTTCTAAGATAAGATTCCTGTATTTCATGACATTTGAGAAAGGGTTTGAGAATTGTCTTTCAGTAGAAATGCTTTTTCCAGAACAAAATCAACAGATATGTTTAATTTGAAATGAAAAGTAGGAAATACTATTCAAATGCTGTAATACAATGAAAAGTAGGAAACAGAAGTCATGTTAATTTTATATAGATTATCAAATTGCTATTTCAGTCTTTAAAGGCCGACTTCAGAATATTTATGTGAGTAAAGAAACCTTTCAGCCTGTACATAGGATCATCCAGACCCCTAATTAAGTTTGCCTCTTTTACCCAGAGGATACTAGAAAAGGAGTGTATTTATTGCCGCTGGGATTCCACAAGGACTGAGGAGGGAGACTGTGTGTCAATGGACTTCCTGACTGCCCTGGCCATACTCCCTTCTGAGGCAGCACCGCTTACTCTTAAAATTGTTCTACATATATTACAAGTTTTAGTTGTGTGTTGTTCTTTAACCTCTGTATGTTAAAGGTGGTCCATGTATTTTTTGTTTGTTTGTTTGCTTTTGTACATATGTTGTATTATGAGAATCCAAGACCTACGTATTATGTTTCAGGATCTTTCAATCTGTTATTAGAATTATTTTGGATACCGGTTTACAGCATTTTTTAATATTATGTGTGCATAGTAAGCACTTATATATGGTTTACAATTTTCAGTAAATGATTTTAAATATAAAATTGGAAAATATTTAATGTATATTGTGATTAGGCAGAGTATTTCAGGTTTTTTTGGTTAGATTTTAATCCCTAACACTGCATAGTACCTTGCTTCAATGTCAGCGAAGTCAGAGATATACCTGAAGAAGGAAGGTGCTATTTTTCAGTTAGAGAACAAGAATTTGGCCATTCTGTACTCTTGGAGGCTGTGTCTAAACTAACTGGCATGTACATGCTGTGGTAAGCCCTGGATCATGATCCTTTGGTTATCCAGACTGGGGAGCTAATGAAAGGCTGATGCAAATCCCTGTTGGCCCGGAGGCTTTGAGTGTCTCCATGTGGGGCAGAAGGGACATGGAGGAGAAGCAGAAGCTGGATCTGGAGCAAAAGAGGTTTGCAGTACAGGTAGGAAACCTAGAATTACTCTTCAATTCTTTTTAGGAGTCTGGTGGCAGATACATTTCCCCATAAATAACTGATATGTTTCTGTTGTTTGAAGCAGTGTATTCTACATAATAAACTAACATTACAACCCCAAAGCAATATATATCGTCTAAGAGATTTCACACCAAATAGCTGTGTGTTATTTCCTATGCTGGCCTTGCGTCTGATGTTCTTCCCTCCATCTCCACATTTTTTGGCGTCCTCCTTCGCATGTTGTAGAACTGTTTCAAGGGAAGAGTCTCGATGGTATTTTTTCATCCTTTTACATGTCAATACAGAAATAAAACCTATGTTTGGAAAATGAAGCTTGAAATTACTAGAGTCCAACTAAATGCCATATAGCACTCCGAGTACCAGGCTTCTATGCTGTAAATAATGTCTAAATGTTACATAGGCAAATTAACAGCTATATATACATCTCCATCACTTGCAGTCTTTCTGCTGGATTCACAGCACCCTGTGCTGCATTCACAGCACCTTACTTAAGTTTTTCAGATCAAGGTTCAAGATCCTTTAATCAGATGCTTATTATAGGGTTACCAAGCAAACTAAGCACTCAAAAGGTGAGAGGTGAGGTACTGCCTGAGGTTACAATTAGCAGAGACCACAGCAAGTGATGAAATGATTATTAGATTAACTGAAAGACTTGCTTCTGATTTCAGTATGTTAACTGAAAAAGAAGGAACAAAATGGTCACCGCAGAACAGGACAAAAGGTTGTCAGTGAGATATACCATACTGTCACAGAGTTTATATATTTATTAATGGTTCAGGGAAGATACAGAATATTAAGTGGCTGAGATATGCAGATAAAATAAAATTGCTTTCATTAGGTGAGACTGGAGAAGGCTGAAGAGAGAACCTCACAATGCTGGTGACTAGAGCAACTGCTTGATTGACAGAGGGAAAAACACCATGAGGAGTGATATGAGCTACTTTATACAGGTAGCTTAATTCTGCAAGTTAACTGCAAAAAGCGTAGAGTCTTTCTGAATAAGTCAGGAGAAAATATACTTGGAAGTGACAAGCATATTAAATAATGTATAAGGAACAGTATAGAAAACAAGTCAGCAGGCATTCAAGGGCTTTATATAGATTATGCCATTCTTCTAGAAGGAATTATGGTTTTGTCTTGCCATTATTAAAAAAGAAACAGCTCACATAACACATAGATCACAGTTCCAGGAAGTTTCAGTTTATCTAGTTTAGCCTCTTGCTAGAAAGAAACCACACAACTAAGTAATTAATTCCATTTAATTACTAAATCTCATTTTAAAACTTATCTACAGTGGTTACAGCTTCCACTGGAGGGATGTTCTAGAGCTTGAGTCCTTCTTTATTATGTCTATCTTAACTGTTTTCTAATTTCTATCCTAAGCCTAGCCATGGTCAGTTTATATACGTCTGTCCCAAAGACATCATTGGCATTTACGTAGATACGTCTTTTTCCTCATTGGTATCTATCCATAAAATCAGACATTCTCTCAATTTTTTCTCCTACATAAACCTTTTCTCCATTTCCTCTAATCATCATGGTTGTCTTTCTCAGGACCTTTTCTAGTTTCAATAAATCTTTTTTTGTAATATGGTTACCAGAACTTTATGCAGTATTTAAAAGATTGTCTCTCTGAACTCTGGGACACTGACAGTAAAATTTCTCTACTCAGAAATCTCTCTCCTGGTGCAACTTACAGTCACATTGATGACTGATTCCTTCTCGATTTTTTTAAAGTGATAAATTCAATTCCCTGTTCATAGCATTAGGTTTTGATAGTATTTTTAAAATGCGTTTCCTTTCACTTTATGCTGTTACATATTATCCCTTTTCTTATTACTCTGGATTTTCTAATCCTCTTATATTTTGACAATTCTTAGTGACTGCGTTACAGAAATTACCTACTTTATGCAGTACATTGAGGAAAAGATGAAATCCAGATAAATTCCAGCACAGATTCCTGAGAAACTTACTAGTATCCCAATAAATTTGTACTTCTCATTTCTGCAGAAATGTCGAAATGTATAATTTCCCATTTAGCTACCTATTTTGTTACTCTACAGTCTTGAACTAATCCACTTCTCCATTTTAGCTACTAATTTCTCATATAATGCTTGGATAGATTAGAGCTACTGTAATCTCCTTGTCTACAAAGACGAATTATCATCATCATGGAGGAGTTTGGGTACTTGGACAATGCAAGTCTGGACACCTTGTGCCATGTATCTGCAGTAAACTGATGCTGGTAATCTTTTTTCTTTTTAGCTGTCTGGAGATAACTGTCCATCCATTTAAAATTTGTTCAAAAACATTACCTAGTACTGCCTTTGGTGTAAGATACATGGGTTTTGTTCTCTCAGTGCACTCTTCATGCCATTCTGGTTTTCCACTTTAAATTTCCCATTTCATAGCCCATTCTTGTCAACAGTGCTGAGATTTCCCAATCACTGTATGTCACCATTTCTATTAATAATAAATAAAAAAAAAGAGGCAGTTATCACTTTATTGTAAAGGTGTACTTAGTTTGTCTTCTCAAAGTCAGCACGTACTGTATATAGTCTTTCTTTGCGTATTCCCTTTTAATGTTTATGGTTAAATAACCTTTTTACTAGTTTGTTTTATTTTCCTTTGCTCTAACTCACTTTTCAGCTTAATTGACTTCATTAACCTCTTTCCTTAGTTTTGAAAATTTGCTGTTTTTAATTCAAAAGGCATTCTGGACTAATTTTACTGTGAACTAATATAAATACTGAGGGATTTAAAAAAATATTAATCATACAAAAATCTTACTCCAGAACAGTCAAGACCAGTATTTTATCTAAGTGCAGTATTTTCTGTGAGTTTTTTTCTTCTTTTCTTTCAGCCATATCTCACAATTAAATTTTCAAACACATGTCATTGCCAGCACATGACAGGCTTATATACAAAACAGTTACATAGTAGAGAATTTATTGGGTATCTTTACTACCCTTGACCTGAAAAAAATGGTCAAACAGATCTTCTGCTGACTTTGCAGTGAATATTTGTTTATGGGTAGAGATGAAAACTGGAAACTGTTAACTGGAAAGGCTCCAAGAGACTGAAAACAGTGTATTGGAGAAGAAGCTGTTGCACACAGTGATCCTTAGTAATCACTACTATTTCTAGGGTGATATATAAAAAGCTGGATGACATTGGTTTGCATATCTAAAAGTGTATATAACATAAATCTAATGAGAAATGACTGATTTCTCAGAAGTGTTAGGCTCCTCAATTTGAGTGTTTAGAGGCAATACTTTGGTATCATTTATTGGTTTTCATTTCTGAAATGCATAAGGTGTATTGCTCTTCTAAGGATGTCAGAAGAAAGCAAGACTTTTGTTTAAAATTGTTTAATTTATCGCTATTAAACAAGTTACTTGGTTTTTATAGCACCAGTTTTATCAAATATCATTAGTCTAATTACCATGTTAATCCACTTTAAGAATTCAGGGGACTATTTAATGCAATTTTCTTACCTTAGTAAATTAAATTAAGACAAGAGGTTAGGTACACCGATGTAGAGTGACATAGATGTCATATACATATGCTAGTTTCTCAGTCATAAGTGAGATTAACATGGAGGATTATATGGTCACCAGTCATCTGCCATGGCTCACAGAAAGTTGGAGCAAAGTTACACTGCTTTGGATAGTGTAAAGAACCCCCTTTGTAACAGAAACACCAAGCTAACTTCAGCAGTAGAAGAAGCAGATAGCAGCAACTTTTGAGAAGTGTTACACTGCTCTATTGTTGGAAAATGTGATTCTGCCAGTTACTTCTCCTCCTCGGGTCTCACAGTTATTATTTGTTCCCCGTTCTTTCAGTTTAATATGTTCAGGCTATGACAATTCTTGTAATGACGAAGTTTAACCTCTTGGTAAGAGTAGCTGTCTGGCAAGTTATTATTTAATAATGACAATATAATTACTTAGGAAGCATTGATACTATAGCTGCACATTCACAGTAGTTTCAGAAAAGAGCTGCTTTAAAAGCAGCTCTTTAAAATTGAGTAGTGGTGTATACTCCCAATTTATCACAATAATAATATATTTTAGACGCCTGCTCTTAAACAACGTAACTTCACTTAGATTCTGGCTCTGTCTTTTAAAATTTTCATTCTTTCTACTCAGGTCATGGATCTACAAGCATTTTTCAAACAAATAAGTAAATCTCAGAACACTGCTGTGGAATTTCAATGTCTTGAGGTTTGTCCTCAAAGATGAGCCAAGCATTATGTTAATATCTCCCTGTCTCTTCCCTCAAAGTATGGGAGAGAATATCTATTTTAATACTTATTGATTCTACAAAACTGTATTTCCCAACAAATGTATGTTTTACATACAAAGCACAATGGCTACACAGAAGTAAAAATTTCCTCAATAGGTACAGCCCAATGGTTATAGCAACACACAAACAAGACTTATAGATTCTACCATCAGGTCTCATTAATATGTTAGATTTCATAATGTGCCTTTACGGTGCCTTGTTTTCTGCCTTTTATTAAAAGCAGTATTAATTATTCAAACATAACTGCTAAGTGGTATGGAGGACATATATTCTCAACTCGTTTATTTTCTAGATACAAGGATATTGGCATGCACCAGACCTAGGTCAGCCTAATTATCAATTTCTTAAATATATAATATCTTTTCTTTTTGGACATGGCTAAACATGAGCAAGTAAAAATACTAATCCTACCTTATTTCTTCCAGAATGCCACAGAAAACTAAATGCAAATTCCTCAAATCATTAGTTTCACTAGTCCTCAAATAATATTCTGCTGCAGTGTAATTCTGTGTATGTATCATGATCAACATCCACTGACTCCTTTAAGAAAATGCCCATGGCTAGCACTGAAAATACTGCATGACACTCAAACCCAAAGTGGTTTGGCTGAACCTCACAACAGGACTGCAGGATAGCTCATTGCCTGAGGTTTAAGACACACATCTATTTTAAGTATCTCAAATAGTCAATAAACACAAAATTCATCATATCAAGATGAGCTCACTCATCATCACTATATTATTTCTTAGTGTTTTAGTTGGAGCAGACAGGATCAAAGATACTGTGATGGAGAGAAAAGTCAGTAATACAGGTAAAATGTGTAGCATACATGAGTCATTAGATGACAGGGGACTTCTGTAGTCAGTAAGGCCCTTTATTACAGCTGCTGTACTTTAAAGGAAGGTCTCTTTTAAGAAACAGTGATATTAATCAGCGGTGCAAAACAACCTTAGCAAGCTTGGGAGGTGCTTAAATGTATACTATTTCAGATGGGTATCAGCTAATTAGAAACATTGGGAGTGAGGGTGTGTTCTTAGTATTCCTTCCTGTTATCAGCCATCCCTCAGGGATACCATTTCCCTTAATTCCACGCCATTGATACTCAGCTTCCACTAAACCAAAGCCTAAATCCATATATTTGGTCTTGATAATTATGAAAATGAACCATGGAAAGTGTATTGGTATCTCAGGGTATAACGCCAACACCGCAATGCAAGAATACATCGGTAGTCCTTCAGTGGACTGCAAACAAGCTGTTACATCTGCGTAGCCCATCGCACCTTTGTGGAGATACAGATTCTTTCTTAAAGAGGTTTCTTTCAGCAGAGCTAATTTGCTTTGAGAGACCCTAATGCTTGAAGTGATGAATTTCTAATTCCAGAGCTAGCTTGCCGAGAGCCTGCCTGGCTGTCATTCTGCAGCACTGCACTGGGCAGAGCTGATATATCCTCTGTAAACAGAAAGCCATACTTGATACAGTTTAATACAATATTTCAAAACTGTGTTTGAAAAGTGATCTACGTTCATGCAAATTTGACTTAGTCATATGGCATACGCAGAGTAAAAGATGTGAATGCAACCTGACGTTTCCTGATTTTTGTGTGCCCAACACAGCAAACTTAATTATTTGCCTGCTGTAATTTTGTGAAATACATATTTCTGTATTCATTGACATGGTATTATTTAGGATTTTGATTACTGAAATGCATTTTTCTTAAGAACCTTGAGTTCAAGTAATTCAGTGAACCTTTTCATCTTTTGATAGCTAGGAAATGGAAGGTGTCAGTCCACACCAGTGATATGCCATCTGCAGGAACAAGCTCAAAGGTTTATATTACATTGTATGGAGATCACAGCAGTTCGGGGCCTATTTTTCTTGATGGAGAGGAGGGAAAATTATTTCAGAGAGGCAATGAAGATATCTTCACAGTAAGTAATAAATATTCGTCGTGTTGCCCTCTTGTATCCTGCCAGATTGCATGACATTTCAAAATCTATATGATAAAAAGACAGTCAGTTTTTTGTACGGTACACATATCTGGAAACAAGAAACAGGACTGAAATGTAGAGCTAAATTTAGTATCCTTTCCCACTCACCTATCCAAAGTGGATTTGATCCAACATATTTCTTGTCTGTTTAAGAAGATCTACTGGTTAATTTACATAGTGCCCAAGAAAATACCAAGAAATATAGGACAACAGGTACTTGTTTATTTTTTAAATTTAAAATGGGGCTACAATATTAGAAATTAAATGAGGAAGTGAAGAATTAGGGTATGGAGTAAATTTTTAACTTTGTTAAATACCTGCTTCTTTATTTAAATAACGGCAATTATTATATAATAAAGTCTGTCTGTCTGAAGCTACTGCTGCTCCCAGTTACATAAGCAAATTTCTCCCCCATCAGTCTTGTGGCATGGTGATTTCAGTGAACCCGAACAGGTCTCTTAGCAAAAGCTGCATAGCTTGAGCATGTATATGGGATTGTCAGCGAGCGTCTCTAGCAGGTGCCAGCTATAGGGCCATATAACGAACAGGTGCTTCCATTGTAGTATCCAGCACAGCAAGTCCCCTTCTGAGAAAAGGTATTTAATGGCAGCATTGAGGAAGAGCTCACCTTTTTCACAATAGCCGTGTAGCTGCTTGGGATGTAGGAAATGCAGTTCTTAGCCCTCTTCAGCCTGATGCAGTTTCTCAGAAGAATCCAGCACCTCTGATAGTATGCCATTCTCCATCTGTGATATCAAAAAAACCCCAGATATAAGATTGAAAGGAGCAGATAAAATAAGCAACCAGGTGCCTGACAGATAAAAATACCTTCTTCACAATAGATACTGTTGGCTCTGTTTCCTGCTCCCATTATTACAATTAATTTCACCTCCAATGACTTTTAAACGCAAAATATGGAGGCAGTCCTTGGTTTGGGACCTAGGATTCCGCTCTTAGGTGAGTATCCATAGCCCTGAATACAATTAAGGAGTGCCTACACTGAAACGTATAGAAAGAGAAAAACCTCTCTGCTTGTGCTGTATGCCAGGTCGGAGTTAACTCTGGTCTGTCCTTGCTGCTCTGCCTCTTTATTCTTTATAACACTGAGTTCAGGGAAGTTCATGATACAGGGAATTCAGTTCACACCCACCTCTGAGCTGTAAATGGAAACGTGAAAATGAATTCTACAGAAAACAACAGAAGGACAGCAAATCCAGCCTACATAATAACAATAAAAAAAAAGATACAGCAAGGAGGGAAGACGCTCATGGTGTGTTTCTAGTTCCTTGAAGATAAGCTTTCTATTTCTACACTTAAGTTCATAACTAGTTGTTTGGATAACCTTCACACAAAGTTCTTCCCTCGGCACCCTGTTATCTGTACTGGGCACACTCATCCAGGCTGCCCAAGAGCTAATCGTTCAAATACAGCTTTTTAAGTTGATTTAATTGAAATAATTTATAAAAAGAAACCTCAAAGCTGAACACAATTGTTTCCAAAATTGTAAGGCATACCCTCCTGGAGGGGTAGGGAGAAACTCAGAGGTGTGTGGGAGGTGCTTGGGAGACAAATAATTTTGTAGCAGGTCAGTGGGACAGATGCTAAACTGAGCCAGGTTTTAGGGTCAAGACACTTTTGCTTTCTAGGCATGCATACATACAGTCTGTATTCATCTGCCACTGAGCCCAGTATTCACTGCGGAACAAAATAGCTACAGCAGCATCCTGAAGGCATTTAAATGGGGTTGGCAGGCCAACAGCTTTTTTGAGTGTTGTTCTTTAAAGAGTCAAGCTTCTAACGATTAGCCAGAGCAAAATATATCGGAAACACTTGTTTAAATATCAGAATATTTAATTCCTCTAAACAAAAATGTCACCTGACAGTTACTAAATGAATTTCTGTTGCATGCCTTTGCTTTTTAACATATGGTCTGTGTTTCATCAGTTGGGTTTCTTTTACAGGTTAATACTGGAAACATAGGACGTCTCTACAAAATACGCATAGGACATACGAATGCAGGAAACTCCCCGGCCTGGCACTGTGAAGAGGTAAAAACAGTGAGAAAGAATTTTATCTTTCCAAAAGCTGTCACTATGACAGTGGAGTCAAAATACAAGTCAGAAAAAAATCCCTGGCATAAGTATATTAGCCTCATCAAACGCTTGCAGCTTCATTTAAGAGAGAGTTTACGAAGGAGTATTTTTGTGTGGAATTAAAGGCAGCTTACGATGGTATGTCTTGGCTGTTTGTTTGCAGTTTAGTGAGAGCTGTACATTATGTTCCTTTAAAAATAGGTGGCTGGGCAGCAAGAAAAACTACTTAAGTTGGCTGCTGTAGCCCGAGTCTTCTACAACCTTTGTACGGCACAGAGTGTCTGGAGTTTGCTGAAACCCAGGGTGTCACTGAACTCAGCCTAGCCAAGTCCTCCTCAAATCTGTGGCTGGCGCTGGGTCCTTACGCACAGCACCAGAGCTACACTGCAATTGTTTCTAGCTCCGTGTCTCTGAGGAGAAACGGACAATACCAGGTTCTTTTCCCGCCTTATTAAATAAGATCTTGATGCAGGTGAAGCTGAGGTAATAAAGCGACGAGAATCAGCTAGTTCTGTTTCAAGTTTCAGTTGTGAAGCACAGTATATAGGTTCCTGCACAGGGAATGAAAGGATCCGACTCCTATTAACATTGGTGGTGTACTATTTGTGTCAATGATACGCTCTGCGTGCCTGGCACGCTTCCCCCTCTGTGCCGGGGTCTCTCACCCTTCAGTTAAGAGACAGCACTTCACGAAGGGCTGTAGCAGCTGCTGACAAACTCATCGTTGTCATCTCGGTCTCTCTAATGCAAAGCGCCCACTGAAGATACACATTCACTGGTCCACGTTCCCACTCTGTGGCCAGTTGGCGCCCTAACCAGTCAGCCCAGCTGGCCCTCCCTCAGAGCGGCGGAGGGGGGCTCCCGCCGCCAGGGAAACCCGCGCGAGAGCAGCGACACCCGGCGGGAGGCGGCAACTCTCGCGAGAGAGGCAACCGCGGGAGATTTAAAAGGCCCTCGGGAGTGCTGGCCGTCAGTGAGGGTGTGGTGTGGTGTGGTGTGGTGTGGTGTGGTGTGGTGCGGGGGGGCGTGGCGTCGCG